TTTGAAAACAATTACTTCCTTGCCAGTGTCAGATTCTAGAGAGCACTGTGAATTCCCAAGTGTTTGGAAGGAAAGGGATCCTGTAGAAGTGGGGAGGCAACAGGCAGCACTTGAAGTAGTAGAACCCTTCTCTCTTGGTTTTGCAGCTCCATATTGTTCAGAGAAATTAAAGTGATACTAGTTTCAAGGAAAAAAAAACTAACCAATCTTTTCAGTAACCAAAATACACCTGAATTCTTCACCTATTAGAAGAGCTGATTACAAAGGTGTGAGTTCAATTAACTCATGTACCTGGTTGACAGCTTCTTCTGAATCCACAATCCACAACAAAAACCCAGAGAAAGGAGGAAGAGAGCTCTCAGTGTAAGATAGGACCTGGGATGCCTCTGTTCCCAAGGGAACTCACGGACCTGAATGGAGACATTCCCGGCCTTGGGAATGGAGGTCTGGGCTCCTGGCCGCCTCACAGGGCCTTGGCCCCAGAGCCCCAGGAGAACGGATCAGCCTCAGAAAAAGGTGAGGTGGGAGCTGGGCTGCTCTCTGGTGGGAGGAAGGCTCTTGTGGCAGCGCAGAGAGGCTGTGCACATTGGCAGGGAACAGCTGTGCCCTGCATGTGCCCCCTGCAAGGAGCTGTGCTGCTGCCAGTGGCCCTGGAGCTGTAGGGCTGCTGAGCTGTGGGGCAGGGAGAGGAGCAGCAGGGTGCATGTGCAGCTGAGCCATTGCTGGAGAGCACAGGGCTCTGGGCTCCCTGCTGTCCCAGGGCAGCCCAGAGGCCAGGCTGTGCCTGTGGCAGCTCTGGGGAAGTGGCTCACGGTTTTCCCCTGGCTTGTCTCAAGTGTCTGCCAGCAGGAGCATGTTTCCCTGTGCAGCTGTTGAGAAGTTTCCTGGAAGTCTGTCCCATGAAATATGGTGCTTCAGGTGCTTTAGGTTTGCATCACAGTCTTTATTATATTTTGTGTGTCCATTTTGCAGACCTGACTGCAAAATGGTCTGAAGGAGGTTACCCTGGGATCTGTAGTTTCCCTGCCACCTTCCCAGATGCTCTTATCTTCCAAGACCTTGCCTTCCATCCAGAATTGCCCTCTTTCCTCAAAACCCAGATCTTACTCTCCTTTATTATTAAGCTGGCCATTCTGCAGTGGAAAAAAAAAATCTGGATTTATAGCTTTGTTATTTTTCTACTTTCCTGCCTGATTTTATCCTCTGTCAAGTTGTTGTATAGAATGATTTGTTCTCAGAACTTAACAGCTCTGTTGGAGAGTATTCCAGAATGAGCTCCATTGTTCTACTTGCATTAAGAAAATCAACCTCTAGTTGGGCTGGCCCCAAAGTGGCCCAATCTCATACAGCTGGGGAGGAAAATCCTTGGGGAAAATGAATTATCCAGTGTCAAGAACACAATTTACGTTTGGGTATCACTCCTGCAACCCTAGGCTTGTCATTGAATGTCCTCTGAAATATTCCAGCAAAGAGAAGGAAATGTTGGTCCAAATGCATCCAGGAATTAGAACCTGGGAGTTGTTTTAGGAACCAGAAAGAAGATGTTTACTGGAATCAGCATGATAGGGGCAGATAAGAATGTCTGTCAAGAGCAATGTCCATCTCTGCCCTTGTCTCTCAGACACAGAGGCTGTCCAGCATGCAGGGGCTGAGGCCTTTGTCATGCAGCAGGTTTCAGTCTGCTGGCCAACAGAGCAATGTCATGTCTGCTGCCAGTAGCCCATCCCTTGGGAGAGGCGCTAGGCATTGTGCCTTGCTTCTCTCAATCCCAATCTCTGGATTTTAGGAGAGCTCTGCAATCTGGAACCTGTCTTGCCTGTTGGCCAGCATGGCATTTTTGGGGGGTTGAAATCTGCCAGAGATGTACAGGAACCCTTGCTTCCATTCCCAGGCCTCCCACTGAGCCAGGCCAAGGAGATGGATCATCCCAGCTGTTGTGGTGTTACAAGGGACAAAGAGCTGAGGGACGCCTCTGGAAAGGTAAGGGATAAGAACAGGGATGAGCAGACTTCCTTTCCAGTGGCTGTTTAGGCCCAAAATATCACTGAAAATCATAATCTTCCACTCCTTGGGAGATGGGGATTCTCTTGGGAATATGTTTGAGAATTCCAGGGCAATTGCTTGGCCATTTCCAGTGGTGCCACAGTCACTCGTGTGGAGATGGCGCTAAGGTCATGCCAGAAGCATTCTTTATGTGCAAAGACTGTTTTAGAGATGTTCTGAATGGCAGAGCAAGCTAAATATCAGTTAATGTGGGCAAAGTGCATCCTTGGAAGCAGAGAAGCAGAGATTCTGATGTTGAGTGGAAGCAAGGCTGCAAAATCAAAGGGGAGAGTTTGATTTTTCCTGGTTACCTTTGTGGCTGCATCTCACAGCCCTGTCATTCTCAAGTTTTCTGCTCATGAGCATCAATGCTTCTGCCAGCTGTTTTCACAAGACTCCTCCTTTTGGTCTGCTGGTCTCAGAGACCAAGTCCTTGAGAGCTGAGTCCTTCAGAAGCCAGGAAGTGAGAAACAGCTGCAATTGCTGGCCATGGGTGTTAAGCAACAGCTCATCAGGCCTCCTTGCTGGGTATTGCACATGGTTTTTATTCTGCTGCCATGGCCTGTAGGAACTGAACTGCCTGCTCCCTGCCATGTGAGCTCTTCATCTGTCTTGGAGCACTCCTATGAGTTTCATGCTTCAAGCAGGGCTTCCTGGCATAGGTTGCAGTTGTAGGAGTGGAAGGTTGTGGTGCTACAGTGTTCCACCTCACTGTGTGTAATTGCCAAGGTGAGGACTGGAGACATTCCTCTGAAACTATTGGAATGTGTACAGAGCTGCATTGAAGCCTATGGCACTCTGTGGACTCTGTGCTCCTGATGAGATGTTGTGTCTGGCTTGTGTGTCTCTGCTTCCAGTCTGTGATGTATTTCCATTGCACCTAGGTCCGTGATGCATTGGGCAAGTTGGCTGAAAAGAACTTTCAGAGGAAGAAAATGGGGCTCTTGGAAAAGGAGATGAAGAGGAGACAAAAGGAAACGTCCTTGCAGCTTCTTTCTAAGGCAGTTGAGCCCAGGCATGCAGCTGAAGCAAGTAAGTGGTGGCTACACTTGTGGTGGTCCTTTTTGAGCACTTGCTTGTCCTTTGCACAATGTTGCAATCAGACTGTGGGGCTGTTCTGCTTGCATGTGAGTGGAAGCTTGCATAGGATTTAATTCTGTTTCCCAAAGAAAAATAGAGAGGAATGAAGTGTCTTGCCCATGGCCTCACTGAGTCAGTAAGAGAATATCAGCTTCCCAGCTTCACCTCTAAATTCTTTCCGAGTAGAAAATTCTATCTTGCAAAGTACACTGGGGCTTCAGACTGTCTCCTGGAGAGCAGTCTCCAGGGAAGGTGAGGCCAAAAGAATGCTTCTCAACCAGGCTGCAACCTGGAAGAAACAAAATTCACCACCAGAGATCCTTCTATGCCACTCCCTGCTGAGGGGCTGGCACTGTGGAGCTGTGCTGGAGCCCCAGGCAGGGCTTCTGTTGTAGCCCCAGGAGCCAGCAGCGTTCCCGAGGGAATCCCGGTGGAGGGGCTCTGCCTGCAGGGCTGCGAGCGCTGCCCGAGGGCGCCAGCAGGGCCCACAGGAGGCAGCACTCAGCCCCAGGGCATCACGCAGGGCTCTCTGCACTTTCTGTGGGAACTGCCCCTGCCTGCCTCTGGAACAGAACAAAAGCACAGCAATACTGGCTTTTTCTTGTTTCTTAGGGGACTCATCACTGCAATTTGCTTTTAAGCTAGAAGAGGGTAGATTTAGATTAGTTATTAGGAAGAATTGTTTTATAAATGCAGGGGATGAAAATCTGTCAGAGTTTGGCCAGAGAAGCTGTTGTTGGTCTATCCTTGAAGGTGTTCAAGGCCAGTTTACATTGTGCTCTGAGATACCTGATCTAGATGAAGATGTCCCTGCTCACAGGGGTTGGACTAGATGGTGGTTAGAGGTGCCTTCCAACCCAAACTCTCTAGGATTCTGTGATTGGTGATCCCTGTCCCATGTTGGTGTGCCATTGTCATACTTGAAGTTCTTTGGGATAAGAAAGAGATGTTACCCAGCTCCAGCAAGTTTTCTGGCCTTTTCCATTGTCACCCATTCCAGCACCCTCCACTTACAACAAGCTCCTCTCTGGTCCCTGCAGGCCTTAGCCCACCTCCTGTCAATGGCACAGCTCCTGGTGTGCAGAGGAAACACCCTGGTAGTGCCATGAAGAAAAGGGTCGTGAGGAAGCAGGACAACGTGCCCTTAGTGCCCAGTACACCCACCCTCTGTGCGGATGGCAGCTTCCCATGCAGCTCCTCAGGTAAGCCTGCTCCATGGCAGCTTTTTCCTGCAGAGGTTTTTTCTTGTACAAGGAACACAAACTGCCTCCTGCCTCAGCCAGGACAGCCAGGATCTTGGGTCCATAGTCTGTCCTGAGAATGAACAGCAAATCTACTTTTGAGTTACTCCAGGAGTTGATAGTCTAGAATATTTGAAGTCAATGGAAACGGACGTGCTGTGAGGTGTAAAGGGTCACGTATGGCTGTTCCCTGGTCATTGCTCTGTGGGGATAGAGCCCGGTCCAGCAGGGCTGGGCTGTTCCAGCTTGGCTTGGTGCTATCACGAGGCAGCTGCAGGCCTTCCCTCAGGGAGCTGCAGAGTGCCTCTGTCCACAGGGCTGGGGAAATCAGGGTGCTGAGACAAGAGAGGCCCCTGAGGAGTTCCCTCCTGGGCTGGCCAGTCCTGCTGTGGGCACTGTCTGGCAGGGAGTGGGAGCTCTGCGGCTTCAGGAAGCTGCCGCTGGCTGTGGCACCTGTGGCACTTTGGAGCTGGTGCTGTGGGGGCAATTGTCAGCTTCAGCCTGGAGCTGTGCCCAGCTGGGGGAGGCTGGGAGCAAGCAAGGAGCCCCAGGATGCAGGAAGCAGGGAATCTCTGAGGCAGTGGCAGCGTGTGCCACACGGAGCCCTGGCTGGGAGATGGGGCTGCAGGCCACGCCATGGCGGGTGCCGTGCCCAGGGCTGCAGCGCCCATGGCCGACCCTCTCCTTACAGTGACCCCGCAGATGGCCACTGGTGCCAAGCACCGAGAGGAGCCACTCCGTGGGCATGGGCAGAAGGACGGAGCATTTTCAGACCCACAGCAGTCCTTGCAGGAGGCACTGTCCATGCTGGGCAGTGATGACTGGTAAGAAAGGCCCCGTTCCCTCTGTGTCCCTCTGAGCGTTAAGGTCGGTCAGAAGCTTTTGTGTCTTGCTCATTCCTTGGAGCCCCGAGAGCCCAGAGGGCCAAAGGGCACTGGTGAAAGGCCTGCAGAGCAGGGAGAGCATAAAATTGGAGAGCAGCCTTTTCTTGGCCTTGCTCTGCAGCAGCGCTGCAGCTGCAGCAGGTCCGTGCTGTTTCCTGGCTTTGCCTGCTGCTCCTTGGAGCTGCAAAGGAAATGTTGTGGGAAGAGAGTGAGCTGTGGGATGAGATGATTTGCTGGCTGAAGGCAGAAGCAGGATGGCAGCAGTTTTGAGTGTAGAGATTTGGGTGCCTTGGGCCCCTGGCCCAGTGGGACTGAGTAAGATTCCTCTCTGCTCCCACTGCTGTCAGCAATGGCAGGGACGCGTGCATGTGAGTCCCAGAAGCAGCTCCAGGGAGCTCCTCTTCTTAAGAAATGGACTGAGTTGTGCTTTCAAGTCCCTCAGCCTGCCATTACTCCTGAAGGGCTCATGGCAGAAGAGAAGGAAAAAGAAATAAAATCCTCTAGGAATCTTGCACTTTTGGAATTCAATTTTTCCTTCTCACTGCTTCGTATGGGCCTGAGATGTTTTGTCAACACTCACAATGTGTCCCAAAATTCTACACAGACAGAAGGAGGCCCAGAGGTGATAACCCTACAAATGTGAGGTGGTATTGGTTGTCTTTTTGATGTCTGGTTTAGTATCCCCTCACTAGTGGATGCTTCATTCTCACAGGAATCAACATGAAAAATTGGCCACGATGCATCTCCTTTGCTTTGCCCTTTCTCTTGTGATTTCTCTTCCCCATTTCTCTTTGGTGTCCTGTGAGGTGCAGAGAGCTTCTGTAGGTGTGGGGGGGGTCCTGATGACACTCTGGGTGCCTGTGGGATCAGTCACCAGCCCTGTGCTGCAGCCCTGATGCCTCACATACCTTCCTGAGGCTGAGGGCCTGCACAAAGCAAGTGCTGAGAGATGGAGTTGTTTGAACCTTTTAAATAACATGTTGCTGTTGTGGGGCTTGTTTTAGGTAGGAGTGTTGTGGGAAAAGCCAGAGTTTCAACAGTTCTTGCCCAGGGATGGAATCTTAATCTTCTGGGACGATATCCTGATGCTTTTTTGGGGAATGTGTGAGGTGGAGTGGAGTGGGTGACACACAAGGCCTAGATTGTAGAGTGGGAACTCGGCTCCAGAGTGGCAGTGCAGACTCTCAGGGCTGAACTGCCTTCTGGGGCTGACAAAGAAGTAAAATACTGTCTCAGGAATAGCCCAATGGGACTGTGTCTCAGGGACAGGTACAGGGAGGTGACAAGTAACAGCAGCATGTCCCAGCCTCAGAGCTTCTAGGAAGCAGTGACAGAGGGACTTAATAGCAGAGATTTTCAGAAAGGCCACACATGAACACTCTGAAAGCTCTCTCTTTGCCTCTTGGATTTGTGTATGCTTTTTAACAGCCACAGCATCCTGTGGCAATTGGTTCCATGATTTTCATTAAGTGCTCCTTGAGAAGCACCTCCCATGGTTTGACTGAGCTGCCAGCGTGGTCATTTCAGAGGGTGCTGCCTAGTTCTTGGGTAGAGAGAAAAATCAATCTTTTTGGTACTTGTCTTTCAGGGAACTGAAGCAGAAGGGACTCTTCAACATCCCACGGCTGGCTGAGTCCCATCCAGAAGTCCTGCTGTGTCGACTTCGTGAGATTTGCTTGGCAGCTACCAGCGAGGTGAGCACATTGTTCTGAATTGTCCCCCATACTTCATACACAGCTTGTAGAGTAGATATGTGCTTGTTCATCTCCATGTGTGCTCAGGGACTGCCTTCATTTCTGGTTTTAGACCTTCTAATGTCTGTCAGCTGTCTGTAGGATCTGTGTGTATGTGCAGCTGTATTCACTGGCAGGTTGGGTAGCTGGCACTTGTCTTTGAGTGTGGTGCCATTATAATGCAAGGCAGAATCGGAGACACTAATGACATTCTATGCCAGAGTCCCAACCTCTGCCCAAGGTCTAATTGAACCCTGCAAATGAGTCTGTAGCTCTGAGCCTGTGTTTTGTGTTTCCTGTCTGAGGGCTTCAACTAAAAGTGTTGCTGTTTTGAACAGGAGTGCCTGACTGTTTTATCTTTATGACTTGTGCCTTTATGGTTTGAAAGCATGCCTTTATTTTTTTTATTTACTTTTTTTTGCTTCTTTGTTTTTCAAAACAAAGGGCCTAAAATCAAAGCACTTGACATTGTAGAAGCGTTAAGTAGAAGACTTTAGTGAAAGATATTTTTTTATGCCTGCAGTAAGCAGGAGTGAAGCCAGAAATTGGTGCCAGACTAAGTGCCTTTCTGTGTTTGGGCTCTTCTGCTCTTCCTGTGCTTTTATGTTCCTCTATATACAGTGGGACATGCTGTCATTTTGTGGGAGTTTTGTCTAAGGAAACGGGTTTTCTTTTCAAGGTGATTCTTACGTTTCCCCTCATGACTTCCCCAGGTGACCAACCTCCGGTCCAAGGTGTCCTGCTCAGCAATCGTCACTCTGGGAGAGCTCTTTGCCATCTTGAAGAAGGACATGGACTCCGAGGCGGATGAGGTTGCTGCGGTCCTTCTCCCCATGGTGTGGAACTCCCCAGAGTTTATTCAGAAGGCAGCCTGTCAGAGCCTGGGGATGATGGTAGAGAACGTGACTCCTGCCCGAGCAATGACTGTTCTCATGGACAGGGGAGTCAAGTAGGTTCTTCTTCTTTTAGTGATGTTCTTTACCTTCTGGTGTGTGGGTGGGGGAAGGGATCTGAGAGAGAGAATGGGAATGGTGGGAGGGAAGGGTCCTGTATCCTGCATCTTCTGTGGACTCAGTGACTTGATTGTCCCATCAATCTCATTTCTTTCCTCTTGTCACCTATTATTGCCCTCCTGCAGCCCATTAGGTCACAGAGTTGCAGAACTGCAGAATATGGGGAGTTGGATGGGTCCCATCAGGACCATCCAGTCCAGCTCCTGGCCTTGCACAGAACAACCCAAGGGTCACAGCGTGTGCCTGAGATTGTTGTCCAAATGCTTCTTCAACTCTGTCAGGCTTGGTGCTGTGAGCACTGCCCTGGGGAGCCTGTTGCAGGGCCCAAGCACCCTGTGGGTGAAAAACTTCTTCCTGATATCCAAACTAAAGCTCCTCTGTCTCAGCTTCCTGCTGCTTCCTGGAGTTCTCCCAGTCTGTCAGAGTTTCCTACATGTGGGTTACGGTGGCGAAGTGAAAGTGCCTGCAAAGGCTCAGGATAGAGCCTTGTGCTTTTGTGGGAAGAGGGACAATTGCAATTGCAGCTATGAGCACTGTTGGATATTTCACAGCTCTAACCCCAGAGTCCCTGGGGAAAACCACATATCCTCATGATGCCATTAACCTGAGAAATAAGGAGGGTCCTTGCAGGGGTGTGGAGCACATGGGGGAGAATGTGCTGGGTGTGGCACAGCCTGCCCAGAAGGTGCAGCTGCTGCCAAAAGGAGTCTTGTATGAGTGTCCTGGCCTTAGAACTTTGTATGAGTGTCCTGGCCTAAGAGCTCTGCTTTCTATTCAAAATGATGTTTCATGTTAGCCTTGAGATGATGATTCACTTTCCAGGCACCTTCACAGGCCGAGTGCCATGGGACAGCTGAAGCAAATGCTGCCCTAAGTGTTGGTGCTGGGCCTGATAGTTCCCAAGAGACAGTCTCTAGATCAGGACAACCTGGCTCAAATGCCTGCCACCTTTTCCTCAGCCTTGGAACAGGGTAAAACACTCAGATGTTCCTTGCCAAGCTTTACAAAAGAAACAGACTGCATTGTTGGATATTCCACAACTTCACGCCCCACAGTGTGTTTGCCCTGCATTTCTTTCTTTCCAGAGGTCTGCAGATTTGGGGATGAATCGGTGGAAAGAGCCTCATCCTGCTGCAACTCTGTGTAGTGGGTGCCCTCTGAGGGGTCAGCATGAATTGTCCTTAATTTCTAAATAATTCATATGTGATCTATTACTTTAATCTTTCTCTGAGTAAATTTTGGGAAAGAAATGGAGTATCAGCTAGTGTAGGGAGACTGAATTCTTCACTCTTCTGTGCAGGCAGTCCTTCTGTACAATGCCAATTTAGTGTTTCTCTGAGGACAGAACCTTCTGCAGGTGTTGGAAGGTGCAGGGAGAGCCCAGGCTCCTTCCCCCAGCAAGGACAGGGAGCACGCTCTGGCCAAGGCCTGTGCTGCTGCTGCTCCTTGTCCCTGTGGCCCAGGGTTTGCTCTCTCCTTCCCAGGAGCCGCTACGTCCAGGTGCGGAAGTGCGCGGCCGAACTCCTCCTGTCCTTGATGGAGAAAATGGGAGTCACCAAGCTCGAAGGCATCCCCAGGGCTGAGAGGCTCCCACACGTGGCAGGGAGACTGGCTCAGGACTGTCACAAGGACACAAGGTAATGATCTTCATCTCACCTCCAAAACCAGGAAAATCATTTTGTGTTTGGCTTTAAGGGTAAAACCACAAAAGAGTGGAAACTCAAGGAAATAATGAGCGACCTCACTGTGTGGCTAAGGGGCATAGAATCATGGAATATGCTGAGTTGGAAGGGACCCATGCAGGTCATCCAGTCCAGCTCCTGGCCATGTGCAGGACAGCCCAAGAGTCACTCCATGTGCCTGAGAGCATTGTCCAAACGCTTCTTGAGCTTTGTCATGCTTGGTGCTGTGACTGCTGCTCTGGGCTGCCTGGGGAAATGCCTGTACTGGGTAACCTGAGGCTGGCCAGCAAGAAGGAGCATTGCCAACTTCCTGTGACTTGAAGGATTCTTTACTGAGATCAAAAGAGCTCAGATTAGCCAGTCCAACAGTTTTGATTGGCCTTAGGTGCACAAGAATGCCAAAGTGTTGGCTAATGTTCATCACTGAAGGATCCCAAACATCTGTTTCTCATTAACTTAAGACTTCCCTAGAAATATTTCAGGGATCTTTATCCAATGTATTCAGTCTTTCTAAACCTCTTCTGCAGATTTCTAGAATGCTGTTATGTGTGGTTCAGTGGTCTCCAAAGTTCTTCTTGAAGAAAACCGTAGTTTCCTAGTAGGAAAATCACCCCAAACCACCAAAATCCCCTTACTTTGATGATGAAATTCCCATTAATAGCTACCAAGAGCACCAGAGCAACTATCTGACCCTGTGCATACATATAATATAGAATAATCAAAAGCAATCATGAGGTGAGAAAGGTAAATTCCTGTGCAATGGCAGCAGGACACTGCTAACAGGCTCTGACAACAAAGCAGATGTGTTTTGCTTGTTGCCTGGGATCCTTTGATCCCACAGAAGCCCACCTGCAGTTTCAGAGAGAAATGGTATTTTTGTCTTGCCCCACATTCTCCTCCTGCCCCTTGTGTTCAGCTACAAGACTGTGCAGTGTCAAGTGAGGTAAATCTCCCTCTTTGCTGAGTAGGTAATGGCTTCTCATGCAAGAATTGCACCTGATGAGTTTAAGGCATCAGCCTCTTCTGTTAACACTCTTCCTTTCTTCATTTTCTGTTGTTTCCTTCCTTCCTTCCTTAGGCATTGTGGACAGGAGATGGTGAAGATGTTGCTGAATAATCAAAAATTTAAAAAGCTTTTGGAGCAATCCCTTTCCCCGCATGACCTGGAAGATATTCTGACCAGAATTAAGAAGAAGGTAAGTCCTTGACAGGAGAAATATCTCCTTTGTGCAAGTATTGCCACTGCTAATACGAGATCAAACATACCCAATGTGTCTTTATCCTATTCCACTTCTGCTGAATCATTTTGCTCCTGGGAATGAGCTGTTAATCCTCAGTCTGTTCATCTGCAGACCACAGAGGAACTGCTATTATTAGGGGAAAAGTGGGGTTTTGAATACTTTCAATAGTGGTTACAAAGAGCAAATGGAAAGAAGGGAAAATGGGTTTACACTCACGTGTACGCCCCCACCACACTCTCCCTACTCTGCCCCCAGTAAAGCAATTAAGTGAGAATAGTGCTTCTGAACATAACAGAGTCTTCTTTGCAAAAGAGACTGGAAGCAGCAGTGCCAAGAAAATTTCCAAATATACCAAAGATGTCCAAGTCAATCCTAGTTACTACAGTTGTTGTCTGTCTTTTGGGAATACTGCCCTGCTGTCGAGCCATGTGTAGCTGGAAGAAGCTTGGTGAATTCAGCAGCATCCAGTGGAAAATCATGTGTTTGTTTGGGGGGGATTTTATTCTTTTCATCTACATTACAGAAGGGAGTGTGCCTTGGTGCAGGAGCAGAGAGAGTAAGTGTTGAACCAAATCAACTTCCAACACATTGAGCCAACCTCCAAAGAGTCCAACTTTTTCCTCTAAGACCACTCATTGCCTGTCAGTTTGCATCATTCCCATTTGTGCTCAAGACTAATGAATTTGGGACTTTAGACTGCTGCTCAGTGTGGTAGCACCCATAACCTGCCTTGGGCTATTGAAATCAAAGAGTTGGCATCACTGAACCTCTGGTCTGTTTATTTCTGTATGGTAGGAAATGTTTCCCTAAGCCTTGGTAGCAGTGATCCTGGTTCTAACTTGTGTTTTCAAGAGGGCATTTCCTATTTTATATTCTAAAGATTCATGGGGTTTCTTTATGTCTTTGTAGGGGATGGAAAACCAGAAGGGTGAATGCCCCTCTGTCAAGGAGCCCGTGGAGAAGAGGAACGACAGCCCAAAGAAGCCCCAGGCCCCACTGCCCTCTAGCAAACGGTACTGAGCACTTTTGTCAGATGTGACAAAGCACATGTCAAGCTCTACATGCCTCTTCCTCAGGCAAATCTTTCTGCTGGAGATGGCCAGTGCCAGAGATTGTTTCCCTTCCTTACAAATGCTCTAGGACAAAATATGTCAACTTCTGCATTGTGTTGAACACAACTTCTCTGGAGGGCTTTCCACAGGAATTGGGTGACACAAAGACACCCATTGGTTGCAGCTCAGACAATCCATTGCAGTAGCAAGGGCAGTGCTGTGGAGGCTTGAAGAGGGCCAAGTCTCTGCTGCCTGGCTTGAGACAAGGAAATTCAAACAGGATTTTTTTTTTCATCCAAATGGAGTCCTTTGTAGATGGGTGTTTTAATGAGAAGTCCCAGTTTAGAAGCAGGATGCCATTCCCCAGACAAGCAGTTCCCATCCATGTGGTTTGGCCTGGCTGATTCCTGGTTTTCTTACCCTCAAACAGTACCAAGATTGAGTAGTAAGGAGCAAGGCAATTCCTGAGCCATTTTGGTCAACAGGTGTCTCAATGTGGACTTTTTGTCTTGGTATTCCTGTCCTTCATATGGTTTGCTTGATGGAGAGCGTGTTTGGTTTATTTCCCCCTGTGCAGCAATCAGCATTTAGGACAGGAATTTGGTCCTTGCTGTCTCTTCATGCCAGTGGCAGAGCTACTTGGACCTGTTCTCCTCTTTTTCCAGAGGGGATTTATTTAGCTCAGTCACGCTCAGTGGTGGCAGGAAGGTGACCACATGCCTCAGTAGCATGGCTAGCATCTTCCCATGCTCATGGAAGAGACAGGTTGATCCCAGAGGATTATTCCCAAGGGGTTTGTTAAGCTGTACATCTAGTCTCTAGGGAAGCAAATGAAATGTGAGTGTAGTTCTGGCATGTCTGGCTTCTGTTCTTATCTCTGTTCCTGATTTTCTGGATCCTTCAGATTTGCCCCTGTTCATCTGTTCAGATGCATCTGAACTACTTTTCCAGATTGTCATGCCTGGTGTAGAGACCCTTCTTCAGAGTGATGACTTTCCTTATTATAAAACACACATGTGCCACATGAGGAGGCATTTAAACTTGGAAATAGCGTCTCTCTTTCCCCCCAAAGCAATGTGTGCCTTGGAAGGCATCTGAAGATAGATCAGATGCATCTCATCCTTGGTTTTCCTGAGTGAGCAGTGGTGAGAATGTCACTTGCAGATTGTCTCCCATAATGATTGTGATGAGGTCCACGTTGTTCCTCAGAGCTTCATGATTTTCTAGCTTGAAATCACATCATTAGGAAAGCTCCTCCGGATGTTTTGCTCATAATTAACTGAAGGTATTACCAGGAACAGGTCCTAATTTGGTTTTGTTTTCCAGGGCGAAGTCTGCCCCTGGTGGGCGCCTCCTCCACCGTCCAACAGCCCAGGTCACGTTACCTGCAACTGTGGAAGGAAGGGAGTCACTGCAGAAGCTTTACCATCTCCTGGAAGCCAAGGGGTTTCAGACACGGATGGAAGGAGTGGCACTCCTCCTCGATCTGTGCAAAACCAGCCCCCAGCTGATCTCCAGTAACATTGTCCAAGTATGTAGGATATCTTCATGGTTCCTTTCCTTTAGCTCCTTTCCCAAGCCTGGGGAAGTAAAGTTAATTCAGTGTGTCTTGGCACTACTACATCCTGGCTGTTTGGGACAGGCTGGTCCTTCTTACCCAGACAAATGCAATTGAGGTCCAGGCTTCAGGACAAGTTCTTTCAGTCCAACTCTATTTGTCTGGTAGGTGCCTATTCCTGCTGTTCATCAGATGATGGCCGAAATTTTCTGCTGGTGTAACTGCTGCTGTCTCCTACTCCCAGTTGGGTTAAGTGAAGGCAATCCAGCTATTGAAAGCATGGCAATTATTCTCTAGACGAAAAATAGGTTTGCATGGGGAAGAGAAGTATCAGGCTGGGTTGGTTTAAACAAAATGTTTTTAAAAGGACACTTCTGTAAACTCCATTTTGTCTTGCACAGGCACAACTCTGGCTCTCATTTCCATCCTCATCCCTATTCCTCTTGGTAAAGATAGTGCTCACCCTTCTTTTTGGGGGGCCTTTTTTTCTCTTTGGAAAAAGAGGAAAACCACTAAGGACCGATCCATCCTTTCTTCTCCCAGTAGCTGCTTTTTCCCTTTTTCCAGAAAATGGTGCCTGATACTGTGGCTGTCAAGGGACTGAACCTGCTCTAATGAGAGCTGTAGAGCACATTACATTTCAGAAATCTACCTCTTAGTTAAAGAATTAGTCTGGATCCTGGAAGAGTTGACCAGAGCCCTGTCCTTCTCCAGAAGCAGGTTCTGAGACAGACAAAAAAAAATTAGATCTCCTCCCGCTACAATTTTGGCAAAATCGTAACTGCCCTCAGTACTTGAGGCAACTGTATAGAAAAATGGGCATGGTAAATATGGGCTTCCATACTTCAAAAGCAAAGGTAGCCTTTTGAATTAATAAATGGAATTGATTTAATGATTTATAGGTGGAGAGAAACACCATAGGAACTTTTCTGGCCCCAGCCAAAACTCTCAAAAACAGATGAAAATCTTTCAAGCAGCATCAGGTTGCACAACCATTCCAGTGAGTGGCCCACAGGAAAACAGTGAAATTGTGCAAGCAAGGGCTGACCTGACAGAAAGGATCAATTTCATCTTTTATATTGCTGAGTGCTCATTTCTACATCCCCTCTTCAGACAAGGTCATTTTAATCCAGCTTTCATGTTGTTTGTTCTCTTCACAGATTTTTGATCATTTTGTCCTGAGAATCAATGACACCCATAGGAAGGTGAAGCAGCAGGCGCTGGAGGTGCTGGCAGAAATGATTGCACTCCTGGAAGATGCCCTGAACCCAGTGATGGTCCGTTTGGTTGAAGGGATAACAAGGAACCTGAACTCAAAGGATCCCGGGGTTCATGCTGCAGCTGTGACCGCACTGGGCCAATCTGTTGTTCATTTAGGTAAGGCTGAGCCCTGGCATGGACTCTCCTCACCTGTGTCTCTGTCTGTCCCACACAAGAGAGCGCTGAGTGCCTTGGGAGCTGTTGTTGTCTGTGGAAGGCTCCAGCTGACACCCACCAGAAGCTGTGCAGGTGCAGTCCTTATGCACCATCCCCAAGAGGCTGGAATGTGCAGCAGCATTTCCCAACAGTCCCAGGCTGCTTTGGCCCTGTGCCGCTGCTCTGAAGAGCAAGTCCTGGACTCCAGCTTTGCTACAATTCAGAGGCAAAGGGGTTTTTCAGTTTGCTTGGGCCCCGTCTGACTTGCCAAATGAACAGCTTTGCTGTTGGCATGAAGGGACACCGGCCCATCAGAGCTTCTGCAGAGCAGCCACCTGGAAGGCTCTACATTAGAGGCATTAGCTGCCTATTTCCCACCTTCCTCATTTGTCTTCTTTTTCCAAGGGGGAACTGATGATTCACCAAGTTCATTTCTTTAGAAGAAATGGGTCTAAGTCCAGCTGTCAATGATGCCTCGTTCCACATGTCGCTTTGCATGGGGCACGATGGCAATAGCAAATACCTGCCTGGGGAAAGGCTGCTGTAAATTCCTCTGCCACACAGATTTATGTCAGCTCTGAAAATGCCACACTGGGGGAATACGCCTGACAAATGGAGTGTTGAAGAGTCAGGTCTTGAGGGGCAGTTTCCACTTTCTCCACCTCAGCTGCTCTGTGAAGTCACAAACTGCCTGACTCAGTGCCTTTCTGTGTCCCAAGTATGGGCTTCTTCCTTTTTGCTCTGGGATGCAAAACCTTTGCACTGCTTTCATGTGACTGAACTCTTGAGGTCCCTGGTGTGAAATGTTTTAGCATAGCTCCTGGTCCAGCAGACAACTTTGGATTTACACATGTGAAAGGAGAGCTTTTCTTTTGGAATTTTAAACCCTGCCAAGTAGGCTGGAAGGAAAGAAGAAAAGGATTCAAAAATCAGCAGAAATTGACTTTATTGTATAAAATGGGGTTGCCCCTGCCCTTTCCCTCCCCACTGTCCTTTCTCCTATGCCCTCAGAAGAGTGAGCAGAAGCGTGTGTTTCACTTGTAGATGAAGTGTCACTGATGAAAGAGCTCAGCCACCAATGGAGCAAACTGAGTGGTGAAGCTCTTCTGGAAGTGACAGAGTGCATCACAGGTATGGCCTCCCCTTGTAAGCCAAGAGGTCTCTGAGGGAGTATTGACAGGGAATGCCTGTGAGCAGAGAGCAGAGTAGCTCCTCCACATCAGGAGGGGCTGAGCTTGTCCCTCCTGCCCAATGGCCAAGGCAGGTGTATTTGGCAGGCTTTCCCTGGCTGCTGCAGAGCTGTGCAGCATCTGAGATGGGGCAGCGCTCGGCCTCGGGGCTCAGCTCTCACTGGGGCTCTTCTCAACTTCCACAGTGACCATGTCTTTAATTGCATTTAAACTCAAATGAAGTCCCATTTTTAAATGGGTGCCATAACCCTTTTCCTGCTTAGCAGAATTGGTTTGGGGTACTTTCAGGAGCTCTTTCAATGTTGATGACTGCTGGTGGATTAAGAGCATAGAGAAAATGAAATCTCTTCCACCACAGAATAATAAATAGCTAGTACATAACATTTTGCCTGATCAGAAAATAAGACTGGTCTCCTGAGCATTTCAGGTTTTGATCTCTCAGCCAAATCTGCCATGCAAGGAGCCTTTTGGTAGTAAATTTTTGTTTGTGTTTGATATAGTTCAGTTCAGAAAATGAGCAGAGAGCAGATTCCAGAGACAATGTGAGAAAACACTTGTGTTCCGGCTAAATTTCAGTCCCATGTGTAGCCTTTTTCTCTCTCTATGCCTCTATTTCAGTGCACATTGTAAGAAAAAATGCCATTAGCATTGAGAGGCGAAATGGCATTAAAATGTGGAGATGCTCAAATGCCAGGGCAATGGGGTCTGGGTAATTCTCTAAGACACCGTGAGGTTTGAAAGAGCTCTTGGTTGGAAGGCACAAAAGCATTCTGCCAAAGACACCAGCTAGGCACTGATGTTTCTCATCCAGCTGTCAAGCAGCAGCCATCTCTGGTGGGCTGGAGTTTTGAAGTGTGCTCTAATACTGCCCTTTGCTGTGTGCTGTGGAGCAAAGGGAAGAGCCAGATGAGACTTTTGGCCCTTGACATCAAAGTTACAAAAAGGAATCATTCCTTTTATTAGAAATCTCTCAATTGCCTCTCTAGGGTGCATGTCCAAAGATTCCGTGTGGGTTTAGACAAGTTGTCAATGGAAAGAGAAGGCAATTTGATGTTTCATTCATTGTTCATGCAGACATAAATTGTGAAACAATTTAGTAATGGTACAATGTCTGCCACAGCTACAAGTCTCTGGTTGGAGAAATTAGTCCGGAGGGGTTGGTGGTTCTGTTTCAAGGATGATCAGCTGCATTGCCTGTTTCTGGGTCATGGGGCTCTGTGTGCTATTTCACTGATCTTGGCCAGAGAGGCTCCCAAGAAGCAAAAGCAGAGGTAGATCCTTGTTTGCATTGAGGCTGGTGGGTAAGGAGCTGTGTGTCTGTCCCGGCAGTGCTTGTGGAATGGGTTCATGCCAGGAGCCCTGAAGTGGTGCAGCGCTACGCCCTGCCCGTGCTCTGGTCCTGCCTGGAGAACAAGGCGCTGCCGGTGCAAAGCGCCAACGTCTGCGCTGAGGTCACCAAGCTTGCCTGTGCCCTCTGGGAGGTGATGGGCACCCAGCTGATTATGTGTGCTGAGAGCAAGCCTCCACACGTGCAGGAAAACCTCTCCAGCCTTTTGGGCTGGTGAAGGTTTCACGTTCTCCAGAAAGCTGACCAAGTGCTGAGTTGGACACCTCTGATGGGACTTTTCAGCTGTGCCGAAAATGACAAAATACTAAGGAAGGGTGTGCATCTGCCCCTGCTCTCTCCATCGCCCTTCCTAGTGATGGCATGGAAGGCCTGAAGGAGCTCCAGACTGAGGGCAAGGTGAAGACCAAGCATGGATGTGCCTCCCAAAAAGGTAAGCAGGGAGCAGGGCCACCATCTGGCGGGAGGAAGGGTCTTGTGGCAGTGCAGAGAGGCTGTGCACATTGGCAAGGAACAGCTGTGCCCTGCATGTGCCCCCTGCAAGGAGCTGTGCTGCTGCCAGTGGCCCTGGAGCTGTAGGGCTGCTGAGCTGTGGGGCAGGGAGAGGAGCAGCAGGGTGCATGTGCAGCTGAGCCATGGCTGGAGAGCACAGGGCTCTGGGCTCCCTGCTGTCCCAGGGCAGCCCAGAGGCCAGGCTGTGCCTCTGGCAGCTCTGGGGAATGGCTCAGGGATTTCCCCTGGCCTGCCTCAAGTGTCTGCCATCAGGAGCATGTTTCCCTGTGCAGTTGTATAGAAGTGTCCAGGAAGTCTGTGCCATGAAATATGGTGCCTCAGATGCTTTAGATTCACTTAGTGGGCTCTGTTACGTTTTGTATCTCCACTTTGCAGGCCTGAGTGGATAGAGTCTTGCTGAGTGGTTTTTTCTGGTAGCTTCTGATGTTTCTGTTATCAACCAAGCCCTTGCCTCCAGTCCAGAAGAACTGTTTTTCCTCGAAGATCAGAAAGAGGCTGCCAACTGACTGAAGAGTTTTTCACAAACAGGATTTATATTTTAAGCTTCATAATTACAACTGTACATTTATTATTCCGATGTAATTATTTTTGTATGTTTATAAATATGTTAATTTTTTATGTACATATGATATTTTGATGTAGTTTTAAATAAATGTTTTTTGATTGTATCTTTAATTCTTGATGACATCATTTTAATTGTATATATTTTATTTTGATGATTTAAAAAAAATTTAAAAATTAAAAAAAATAAAAGAAACCAAAAAAGAGATTGTGACACCAGGACCTGCTAGCCTAGAGGTTGTGGGAGTGCAGCTCACTCGATGTGCCAGTGTCTCACCACTTCCTTTCCTCATTGGGCCTCTCCTCTTCCTCTTTTGCCATGTTTTCTTTGCGTCATTTGTGCTGCTGTTTTTAACGTGTGCCCTGGGTTGACTATATGATGCTTTTATCCTCCATCATCGTTCTGTTTAGGCTGAATAATAAGGTTTGCACCTTTAAGACGTGTTCCAGAGAGTGAAGGGGGGGGAGAGTAGAAGCACACAGTTTTGTTTTCAGACACTGCACTCCTCCTACACCTTCCTGCTCCCCGGACTGTGTTGTCTGCAGATGGACAGACAGCGGGACAGAGCTCTCTTTTGCTTTTAGTTAGTTTAGCTAGCTGAGGCAGAGAAGTTCCTTGGACTGTGGTTTTATTCCCTTTTCTTTGGACCTCTTGAAGCCTGCTCTGGACTGAACACCCAGGGGAGCACCGGCAGCTGCACCTGAGGCCCACGGGGCCAGGCCTGGCCTTTGACAGTTCCAGCACTGGAGGGACTGATCAGAGACTGAGTGAGCTGCAACCCGAGGATGGGGCTTTCTCAGTTTGTCATCTCTTTGGGAGCAGCAAGGGGTATTACTGTTTAATATTGTTTAGGTTTTATTGTTTAATAAACAGTTTTTTCCACTTTTCTCCAAGGAGGTAGTTTCTCCCGGACTGTTGGAGAGAGGGGCCAATTGAATCTGCTTTACTAAAACAGTCCCTGTGGGGGTTCTCTTCGAAATTTGCTCTGAGCCAGGACAATGTATCATTACAACAGGGTCACACATTGACATGTTTGAGGGACAACAGATCCAAAAGATCCTGTCGAGTTAAAAGTTTTCTAACTAGATGTGTTCTGTGCTCACCAAAGGCCTGAGCAAAGAAACCAAGAGAAGTGTGCCCAAATGGCCAAGCTTTGCTCCTTTGCAATCTCACACACATCTGGCTCACATGTGTCCTCAATCACAATTTCATAGGTAAGAAGATCTTGTGTATTTCACTGGGAAATGATGCACAGCTTTGGAAAAGTCATCTGTGTGTATATTTACCCAGGACAGCAGTCCAGCTGTGTTGTTTGCAAGTTGTTTGCAGAAGGATGAGTGGACCGTGAAGCCAGTAACAAGTGACAAGAGTTCCTCAAATCTAAACTGCAGTCTGGGTGCCATTCAGTGCAGTCTCGTCCTGCGACCACTGGCATTCTCAGTGCAGACCACGAATCCCGTCACTCCCAGGATATCTGCGAGAACCCCTGAGTAGTGGCTCTGTCTGCAGCGTGGTGACGCAGGTGAGAGCAGGACTGAGAAGTACTGAGGCGAAGGAAGGAGGGAGTGGACACACGAATGGATGCCAAGGTGCTTTACTGACCCAGGCGGGGCCAGTAACGGTGTCAGTGAAAAACCGTTGGGGAGGCACTTATAAAGGGGAAGGGCGTGACACGAGGAGCCACGAGGGACCAATGAACGAAGCTCAGGCGAGGAGCAAGAGACACACCTGAACCAATAGGAATGGCCCAGGGGAGGGAGAAGGCTCAGGGGACAAACCATATGTTAAGTAAGGGAAGATTGACATAGAAAGTTCTCAAAATGAAAGGGGGTTGGTTACAATGATAGACAGGTAACTGGCGGGAGGAACAAACCCTTAGGAGGGAGAACATGGGGGGAACCGAGGGTCAACCCAAAATCTTAACATATAAAAAATAACCACCTTTGCAAGAAAACCCATAGAGGAGACACTATGCTACAATTCAGCCCAGAGATGAGAGATCATTTGTTCCCATGGAGCTGTGCTTGCCAGGGTAATGAATTCCTGCATAGCTGGAACAAGCAATTCTGGATTCAGCTCCAGCTCTTGGTTGGCTGCATGATCATTGACAATGCTCCCTATTGTCCTTGGTTACAATATAAAGATGTATTCTATTCCCATCTTCAAGAGCTGTTGAAACCAGGAGGGGAATTGTTCTTTTCCTTATCTCCTGTTAATAGGCCCATCAATGCCTTTCCCCATGACTCAGAGATAATTCCCTGTGGGAGCCCTTTGTGTCTCATGCACCCACCCCATGACTTATGGAACAATAAGAGCCCATTGTGAGATGCTGTGCCCAGGGAGGAGGAACTAAGCATCCCCACGTGGATATAATCTGGAGTTTGGGACAGAATAAGCAGCCTTTCCACTGGATTCCCAGAGGAATGGCTGCCTTTTCCACTGGATCTTCAGAGGAAGACTATATCCTTCTAAAGGATCACATGTGCCACTCCAGGAGGAGTGCAGCCACCAATCCAACTGGACTGCTACCAACACCCTGACCAAGAGGCTGTCACTTTGTATTCTGACTCTGTCGGTGTATTTTGGGGGTTTTTTTGTTTTTGTTTTTGTTTTTTTTTTTTTTGTATTTTGCATGTATTTTGGATGGGGTATTTTTCTGTGGTTTTTTGTTTCCTTTTCCCAATAAATTATATTTCTGACTTGCAGTCTCTCACTGGTTTTGCTTTCAAACCAGAACTCCTATCCAGAATTTAATATGCAGTTTTCTGTCATAGTCATTTGAAGCTTTTAACCTTCACATTTCCATTTGCTTTGCCTTAAGGAAAACCACTTCTGGTCCCAGTGCATAAAGTAACCTTTTGCCAGCAAAGTCCTCATGGTTGCCAGCTTCTGATGTTACAGAAGAAACCGCATGTGAATGTGTTAGAATTAGGTTTTCTGATGGAAAAACCCTATGTCATGTGGCTGTATGTGTTTGCTTAGCTATGGGTTTAGTCCTGGCCTAGTAAAGCCCAAGCAGGGTGGCATGTTTCAGGGAAAACTGGTCCATGAGCTTATGGGGTTGCCATCAGCAGGAGATTGAATGTCTCCTTTGGGGATTTCTCTGGAGACACAATTAGGGACCAGCTCTATGCTGCAGTATTCTCTTAGATCTTTCAAAAATATCCTAGAAAAGGCAGTGAAACTTCACATCTCCTTTCTCAGCCACTGTTGGAAGAGGGGCATTCTTGTCCCTCCTCAAAGCCATTGCTCTCTCCCACCAGAAACATGAACATCCACAAACAGCAATGATGCATGGTCCTCCTGCTGCTGCTTCAGAGCTCTGGCAAGTGCAGACCTGGGTATTACCAATGGGAACACTTGATTAGCATTTCATGCTCCTTCAAGATATCCAGATCTCAGGACTTTTTGTTTCAAAGCAGCCACTGTACTGGCTCTAGGGAAGAGCAGTAAATGGGAAACAGTGACTGCCAGCCTTGCAGGGGTGTGGGGGCAAACCTGGAGTGTCGGAGTCAAAGGATGAATGGGAAGAGTGTAATTCCAAAGCCAAAGCTTCATTAGGAGAGCAGGATCAGTTCTTTACTGCATGCTTGCATGAAAGTCATTTGAGACCTCTTTTTTGTATCTCATGCAGAAAAAGGGGGCTTAAGCTCTGTAGTGGTTCACAATGAAGCAGACTGCCTGCTTTGTCACTGCCAGCCCTGGACCCTGGGGGCTCTGCAAGGGACTGTAGTGTATCCCATGCCTGGTTTGCCTCCAAGCAAAGCTTGGAGTTGCCTATGAGTTGTGCAATAAATACAAGAGTAATAAAATGGACAATTAAACTGGTCATTTTGGACGATATGCTCATGGTTTCACATGTCAGTCCTGTACCTCTTGCTCCAAGGCTTGTCACTCATCATGAAATATTTCAATGGAAAAACTCAGATCTCATGTTCCATCTGAATCAAATTGCATCAGATCATCAAGAATTCTGGTGTCAGGAACAAGACAAAAGCCTTCTGCCTCTCCCTTTAAGTTGTCCTGGATTTCTGCAGCCCTTTGTGAAAGCTGCTGTAGGCAGAGTGTTTGTAGTTGTTCTTTGAGGCCTTTATGTGAGATATGTGGAACAGTCTGCAGGGCTCTCCTGGCAGAAATCTGTTTGTCCAAGCCCCGGAACACGGTGCCGGCAGAAACGGAGCGGCCCCGCTCCCAGCCCCAGAGTGTGTGAGCTGAGCCACAGCGGGGAGAAAAGACACCGAGGGGCTCCAGCCCAGCTGCTTCACCTGCCGTGGCTGCTCCACGGAGCTCTGCCACTGGGAGAAAGTCGATGCTGGACAAGCCCCCGAACTTTCATCTGCTACTGGAACTACTGCATGATAGCTCCTGTTCTTCCTGAGGGAGAACCCGGCGCCATCTTGGAACTCGAGTCCTGGGGGGATTTTCCTCTGGCATTTTGGGTCTTTGTTCCACTGAGGGCACAGTGAGGTCTGAGAGTTTGATATCCAGAAATTACTGGCCTTTTTATCTTGCTTTGTAGGCATTCTGTTTGTTAACAAGCTGTTGGTTTCTTTCCACTTTCATCTATTAGTATTAATTTCCTATTGCTGGAAGGGGATTGTTGGAACACATTAGAAGAGATGACTTATTCTCAAGTTTAATGTTTTAAGTTGTCTGCAACTGTGTGAGACAGATGGCTTCACACAGGAGCATCCCCAAAGCTGCTGAAGGGAAGGCACAGAGGGAGACAAACCCCGTATTTCTGAGGGAAATTCCTTGATACCAAACCAACCTGAGTCATCAAACAGCTGACCTGACCTTTCGAGACATGGGCCAAAGGGGAAAACTTTCAGTGTGTTTGTTCCAGGCCGGGCTATGCCCAAGGCAAAGGTCTGTCAGTGCACTTGGCTCCTTCTCTCCTCATTGTGTCTGGCACACACAGGGGCCCAGAGCTCCTGTAGAAACCATCCCAGCACTCAGTGGGAGGAACTTGTGTCCAGTGGTCACACAGAGCTGTGGTGTCCAGCACTGCAGCTCATTGGAATGAAGAACTGTTGCAGCCCTCTTGGAAGGAGCTAAGGAGCTTTGGCCTTCAGATCAGCTCCTTCCCAGCTCTTGATTTGCTGCCCTGGGGGAGCTGCTGCTTGTGGCAACACTTGTTTCACAGCTGACAGCCCTGCTCTGCTGGCCAGCAGCCATTGCAGGAGCTTGTGCTGGTGACATTGAAGCTTTTGGATCTTCCTAAGGAAAGCTCAGGGCAGAACTTGTCAGAAGAGCATTGCCTTGGCGATGCCTTTGACATTAAATCTTTCTTCTGTGCTCTGTGCCACACACCGTAAATATTTGAGGAAGCAAGTTTGCTGCTCCAGAAATTCCTCAAATCAGTCAGTTAAAATGTAATAGACCGTGATCTGGGATGTGTAATCTCACTTTAATTCGTTGAGCAGAAAGCTGCAGGAGCACTGCTTGTGAGCGGTGTGTCTAAGCTAAGTGACCTTGCCCCCAAGAACTTAGAAAAGAGGGGAGAGATGGAATCAGCAGCACAAGGATCTGTACTGTGGTTCTCCCACAGGCCTGAGGACAGGGCCCACTTCCACTGGGCCTTGGCTTTTTACCCTCCATCAAAACTTGGTGCTTCAGATTGTGGTGGTGAATGGGCCCGGCCTTGTGCGGCCCCAGGGTGATCTGGGAAACGCTTGTCAGGCCTGGGCCTTGCTGAACAGCCCCTGGGCTCAGCTCCTGCTGAGCTTATCAGGGACACGGAGTGCTCCCAGGAACCTGTGTTGTCTAACAAGCTCCTGGGGTGTCTGGGAACAGCCTTGGAAACCACTTTTCTTGCCTGAATGGCATGGCATCCTTCTTCTCCCACTTTCCGAGTCAGGCTGCTGACCCGCAGTGCAGCCATGAGGAAGCATTTTATGGCTGAGGCCCACTCTCTTGTGGCCCAAAAAGAGCGCTGCAAAGGAGGCCCTTGGAGCTCTCCTGGAGCACAGTGGTTGCCAGCAGCAACCTCCCTCTGAGTGGGGCCTCTCAGGGGCAGCGAGCTCTCACGTTTGCTGCACTGGCAGGATCACTGATCAGCAATGGATCGTGGGCCAACAGCCCCACTCCTGGAGGCTCCATTTTAACCACTGTTAAGCTGGAGTGCTGTTAAGCTTTTAGGCCGTATTCCTTTTTAGCCTTGTCCTTGCTGTCCCTTTCTCAAAAGCACCTAAAGACACACACACACACACACACTTCTCAGAATGTTTCTTGTTTGATTGACTGAATTTTGCTTGTTGCTATTGCTATTTTCTTCCTTGTTGTACTTTAAATGACCTGTAAGTAATAGTGGGAATGTTGCCAATGAATTTTCTTGAGCTGTTCCTTAATATTCAATCTGGTTTTACTGAACCTTGCCTGAGAATTTTTAAGCCATCTCAGATACTTGTTTGTAGCAAGCCTTGGGAACATGTGGCGCAGGGTTGACACTGGAAAGCAGGAGAGTCATTCCAAAGGGATGAGTTTGACTGTCCATTCTATTACTCTTCTTATCACTCTAAC